TGAAAAATATCCTTACAATTTATATAGTTATTTGCTGATAGAAAATATTTTAAAAATAATAATTTTTGTTTTACTTATTTCGTGTAAGAAAAAAATTTTTTTTTTTTTTTGAGAAATCAAGATATTATTTGAAGGGCTTTATTTAATAGCATTTGCTATCTATAAGCAGTCAATTAACATAATGGTTATTTAATTTTAATTATTAACAAATATAAAATAAATAAAGTATATGAGCATTGATTTTTAAGATATTTTATACAAAATAAATATATAAAGAGTTTGGAATGCTTCAAGGCATCGATCTTCTTATATTTTTAAACCACTTTTATGGTTCAGCTCCTATATTGAAATGACGATTTTGGCGACATTAAACTATATTCTATAACATTAGATAAAGCAATGATGATCTTTGATTAAAATAGTTGTGGGCCCACCCTACCCCGTAAGCATGAAATCCTATCTAACTAAGCATTAGGCTAAGTGAAAAGATATATTTTGCAATCTGATTGGAGGCAAAGTATGGTGACGGCTTGAAATTCACGGTATAACTTCTTGAAAATAAAATAAATTTTTAATAGTCACACAACCTTTTGAACAACAATATCTTTTGCAACAAATTCACAGCTGTTTTTCCAAACTGTTGCAACTACCCCTAGCAGGCCATAAAACACCCACGAGAATATTATTTTTTAAATTAACTTAAGGTGGTTATACTGATGCCACCCACGAGTATATACAGTGAATTAGTCCAAGAAATACCATTAAATTTGTGAGTATATATATATATATATATATATATTTAATTACAGTAAATATTATAATTTTTTTTCTCAAAAGAATAAATGACAATTTATTGCAGCCATAACACTAATATTTTGTAAGAAAATGTTATTAATATTGAAAACTATTTTTTTTAATAATAATTGGACTACATTTTTTAATGGGCTAGAATGCTTATCAAATTAATGGAAATAATATATATATATATATATATATAATTGTAATGATAATAGCAATAATAATAAAAAATAATAATAATAATAATAAAATCTATCAAATGAACCTTTAATCTTTAGCTGATTTTTTGGTTTTGATCAAATAATGCACATCCTTACTTAATTAAAATGATGATATTCTTTATATGATATGTAAAAGTTTAACTGTTAAATATGTGAATGAGTTGGGTGATATGTAATGCAAATGCTCTTTTTTTTTATATAAAAATACACATTTTTATTTATTTATATGTCCAGAAAAAACACGTTATTGTCGTAAATGAATATAAACTGGCGACATTTTTAAAATTATCACCATAAATTTAAATTTATTTTATCTATTTTGTCTTCGTACATATACATAAGTAAATAAATAAATAAATAAAATAATCCCAATGCTCATCTCTCTGTCAGAGAAGAATATTTAATATAAATACAATTAAAATTAAAATAGAGAGCTAGACGTGGGCTCGTATAAGCCAATGACATCAGGATATGGAAACAGCTATTAAAGGCTCCCCTCGGGATGCAGATAGTTGGCCCCATAGACCCAATAATTTATCATAATGAGATTTGGCAGTACTTCTGATGTGATGTAACAAATTTGAGTGAGGGTAGAATTGTGAAAGTCTAAATGTTAAATATGTAATTATATAAGAAATGTATGGTTCTTAATGATTAATTTAAAAATTGAAGGAAAAAATAATCAGCCTGGTAGTGGTGGGGCGATTATTGCGTGCGGACACCGCATGCATCTCTGCATGTATTGTCCGATCCTGGCCGTAGATCATGGTGATCTACGGCCAGGATTATTTCTGTTTTTTAATAAAAAAAAAAAAATTTAGGTGAGACCCATCGAAATACATCGGGACCGTAGATCAGGTGATCTACTGTCCGGATCGGGCACCGCACGTAAGCTGCGTGCGGTGCCCGATCCGTATGGAATAATTTTTCGGTAGTGGTGAGGTGTGGAGAGGCTTAGAATTAAAGGGGGGATGAATCTTCAAAGTCATGGGGACCTCTCAGTTGTGGCTAACTTTCAATTGGCCATACATTGCTATGTTGGTTGAGTTAGAGCACCTAACCAAGGAAATAAGCATAAGCAAACATAGAATATTTCCCAATGTTTAAAAAATAAAATGAAATAGAGAGTCTCATTGTTTTGGTAGAGAATGGAAATATAAAATTTAAGATTAAATATTATTTTAATGAGTTAGGCACAAATTCAAGGCAACACTTAAAATTCAAATTAAAAAAAATTATATATATTCTGGTTTATTTAAGATTATATTATTAGAGCAGTCACTCTCTACTTTTTAGCTACTTTTACTTGGGGGCATTTACATGCATGTCTTTTAGTTTTTATGTATTTACATATCTGTCGAGAAATTAGGGCGAAGAAAAACAAGAATCGACACAAATCCAGAAGAACACACAGAGATTTATGAGGTTAGGCAAATATGCCTATATCATCGGGAGCAGAGCAGTGACATTCTTTTTCAATATTCAGAAAAGAATACAGAATATAAGATTCAGCTCTCGAAGACTCGGAGACTCAGAGACTCACATAGGGTTACAACTATGACATATATATAACCGTATAATACAATATGTAATTGTTTAAATTACCCATGTACCAAACAACATGGTGTAGCCCCCGCACCCCCAACCCACATAATGAAACTCCCCTGATTGGACAGATCCTTCCGCTTAACTCTGCTCGTGAGCTCCACTTCGCTCAAGCATCTGTCCCATTTATGATATATGAGTCACACCTAACAAATCTCCACCTTGACGAATATCCAGCCCTTTAGGAGAAATATATCATGGAGTATCTTATGCACCAATGTGGGTTGGGCCACCACGCTTCCGCTGCGCCCTATAATTTACATTGAATTTTGCTCGTGGGCTCCACTCCGCTGAAGCATCTGCCCCATTTATGATATATGAGTCATACCTAACAAATCTCCAACTTGGCAAATATCCAACCCCCTAGGAGAAATATATCATGAAATTTTTTATGCACCAATGTGGGTTGGGTCACCACGCTTCCACTGCGACCTCGCTCTGATCCCCCCCAACCCACTAAATTCCAAGAGACACAACTCTTCAATTCAAAGAGGCATCTTAAAGAGACATCTTTTCATTCTAAGAGACTCCAAATTCCGGTATTATGAGTCATACCTAACAAATATTTATTCTTACGCCGCCCAAATTTTGGTATTAACAGCTGACTTTAATTCTTACTTACATGTCAGTTAAAATTTAGTATTTTCTTAATGTTATATTAAAAATTCAGGAGGTATAAATATAAATGTAAAATTTTAGTAATTTGTATCTTATATAGATAATTGGTGATCACGACCCACAATGGAATAAATGGTAAAAATTCAAAAGAAAGATTAGTGGACCTCTGAATGATCGTACGATTCAAAGCCCATCAATAATCCCAATGTATATAACCACAGATCCATTAAAGCCACCTAACAAATTGACAAGTTAGATTAACCTACAGCTTCATTTGCTTATTTCTACCTTCTTATAAATCGCCTAATTCAGACCTATAGAATACAGTCATTCTCTTCTTTAATCCTTTTTATACTGATCTCTCTCGAATTTTATGAACCCAAGGAAAAATATGTAAATACATAAGATTTGAGTGGTATGCATGTAAATACCCGTAGATGAGCTCACCCAATCCTCACTATCATTTACACAATCATGCTTGAGACAAAACAAATAACTTTGATAAGCAACCTATAATTTACATTGAATCTGGCACTTTATTGTTGATTCAACCGATGACTTTTAAAAAGATAACAATTTAAAACGAGCTGCATGATGTCGCATCAAGCTTAGGCTCTAATTAACTCATAGCAAGTTGTGCTTTTCTTAATGATATTTTTAAGAGCTTAATCACCTGCTAAACTAGAACCCAAATTAATTAATGACACGTATTTAAATCAGATCATTTTTTTAATCATTCTATCTCAATTTGATCTGTCTTCTATCTCCACCACTCGAATAACAATACATTTAAGGGACATTTGCATTCGCACCACACAATTACTGTGAATTTATAGATCAAGTCGCCTAATTAATTTAATTTTTATATTTCTAACACTTGAATTTTGCATATCATATCAAAAATATTATTATTATTAATTTTTAAGAATAAAATGCACTTTTTAATACATGGATAAATGATATTAATGTAAATATCTAAGTGTAGGTGTAAGATACATAAGAACCTATGTGACATAAGTAAATCTTTCAACGTTTAATGAGAAAAGATACATAAGCACTTTTTCTTACATTTAATTTATTTCTTAGTTTTTGAGTTCAATAGATGGCAGAGTTGAATTTGAAGGAAAATAAAAATCAATGAAGTTAATTTCAATGATTTCAAATTATCATTCGTCGTCAATAAAATTTTATCATCCAGCACGAATCTCAATATAGTTTAGAGTAATAAACGTTTTAAATTTAAATTCAATATCATCCAGTAGAATTGCATTTGAAAGCTTTGGATCATCAATTTAACGGTCAACTGAACTCTAAGTTTGATATATTTATGGAGAACAAGCACCTCGACGAGAGAAATCAAACGAGCCTAGGATTGTTCAAATTTAAGATAATTAAGACACTTAAAGTGCTAAAAATCATTATGATAAAAAGAGATCAAATTGAGCCGCCGGATCATATGGTTGGAAAAGTTATTTGCCAAAATACCAAAATGACCCTTCCTCAGAGGTTATAAATAGACCCCTCTCTTCAATTGAAATAAAAAAGGAAGAAGAGGAATAACAGAGTGTATTCTTGACTAAAGACCCGATGGTAACCTCTTTACATAGCTATCAACCATCACCCGACAGCCACAGCCGATCGTGTCGCCGCCAACCTCTTATCGTCGATGACCCATGCTTGTAAGCATCGTATCTCAAATACAATTATAACATGTTACACCCGTATTGAAGACCAGGCGATAACTTTGTGCCTTCGTAGCTCTCAAATACCATCAACACCTGCCGCCACAGATCAACGACGACCACTATTTACAACCGTTATAGTCAAAATATTGTGATTATTTCTAACAATTTTATTATTATGTATGGTGCTAATAAGTGTTATATTTGGTGTAAAATAGTAATCTCGCTCTCTCAGTTGTGAGAAAAAGTGTACTTTTGTACTTACACACTTATAGTGATTTATTTTGACTACGCTAGATCTTGTGATTTTTTCCATTTTTGAGTTTTTCCAAGTAACAAATTATGTTGTCTCTTCCCACTATTTCTCAATTGTCTCTGTGTGCATTTTAGATCTTCATGCAACAGTAAGACGTTAAATTATAACTCTACCGCCGCTAATTTTTCAGTATGCAACTACTTAAGTACAAATTCAATTCTTGTATTTATGGTATGTGATGAGTTGTATTTGTACTTACATTTATTATTATTATTATTATTATTATTATTGGAAGTGATACTCTAAATTATCATTCTATCAATTTTATGTTAAAACTGGGCGTGACCACCTTAATCCCTCATAACTAATGTTCATTTCTCACAACTATGCTAAATTGAGTTAAGAAACTAAAATAAAAACACCCCCAATCATTTTTTTTTTTAGATGAGCCAACTTTTTAAAATCAAAATTGAGTTATAAATTGATATGACACCAACAAAATTCTAACATCTGCATGAATCTCGAGGCATGCCACGAATCTTGAGACAATCTTTTAAGCAAGAAATATACAAATTTCAATAATAAGTCATCTAGAGCTCCAATTTCAATAAAATTATAATCAAACTGATCTGCTCGACAAGACGAACCCGATGATACTAAAATTTGATTTATTACAAGTCAAATCAAGCTCTGATCAAGTCATTAAACTAATTTTAGAAGCTTTTCAAGCATATTTGGGAAGTCAAATGAATGCTAAATCGGATGAGTTTATGGTCGAATCGAGCATCTCGACAAGACGAATTCAACGAGCTCAAGATCACTCAATTCTGACATCGTTAAGGCACTTGAACGTCCATAAAATACCATTTGATCGAATGGAAGGTTATTCGATGTTTTGCCCACCTTTATTGGAGGAATTTCTACACTATTTTCAGTGTTTGAACATCTCCTATTTTGAAGCTATTTCTGCATTTTCTGACAACCCTAGAGTTGGTTATGTGTTATTTTGCCTTGCCTTCATTTTAAATCAATTATATACTTCCGAAGCTTTCGGAACACCACCTTAAGGTGAAGCTGCTTTTTCATATTCTGACAACTCCCAAGTTGTGATTGAAGTATTATCAACATCATCATCATTAGCCTTATCTCAGTTGCTTAGGATTAGTTTTATTAGTTCTCTTTTTTCAGTCATTCATTCTTTCTTAATGCTGCCAAAGTTGTAAGGCGGGATTGAAGTCTGAAGTTGATTGTTCTTGAGTTGCAGTTAAATTTGGTTTGTTGTCTCTGCAACTCCTGTGCCTCATCATGTTATCACTCATTTTAACTTGTGTTGGATGTTGTGAAGGAGTTTTTATGCAGATGTTTTACTTGTTCTGCTTTTTGGACCTGAGAAGATTATTGGAGCATGCAGTGATCAAGTTTTTGTACAGAGCATAGTTCGCAGACCAAATTTTGCTATTTTTATGATAAAGAATACTGACAGTAGATTGCTCTAGCATGAGGTTATTGAGCTCGATGATATATCTAAAATATATAGTGTTTTTATACACATTTTTATACTTATTTTTGAAATATTGCGTTTTAATGAAAGATATTTGTGTGTTTTTTCTTCAGGTACAATTAAAAAAGTGAAAAATGACAAAAGAAGTGAAAAATGATCAAACATTGAGCAAAAATGTAAAAATGGTACAAAAGTATTTTGGCGTCTAAGCACCGGTGAAATAGAGAAGGCCGCACCTAAGCGTCAGAGACCCTGCGCTTAAGCGCTAGTGACATTTACTTGACGGGTTAACTCATTTTGACGAATTTCGAAAGGACATTTGAGGCACCTATTGGCTAAAAAGAGTGGTTATGAACACTAGAAATGAAATATGGTTAAAAAACTTGTGAAATGATGCATCCTTTAGAGAATACATCGAATTTGGACACATTTTGAAGAAATATTTAGGCACCTCTTGGAAAATTATAAAAAGAGAGGCTTGGGACTTTTGATGTGTGCTGCTTCTAGTCTCCTCAAGGGCTGCTTCTAGTCTTTTTAAGTGTTTCTTTTAGATTCTTCTTTGCTGTGATTTCTTAGAGATGTTGTATAACACCAATATCTACTTTTATTTTAGTTTTAGTTTCTAGTTTTAGAAAATTAATAGTGTTGTAAGAAGAGAAGAGATTCAAAAGAACTTCAAGAGTTATGTGAAAGATTTGAGATAAGTTTTTATCTTTTTATTACTACATTTAATTTTAATTGAGACTTCTTGTTGGTTTGACAATGATTTCTGCTTTTAAACTGAAGTGTGGTTTTGTTTTCTCCATGAATTTTGAGTAGTTTTCATTATCTTTTTCTTTAAAATAATAAGTAATTAAAGTATTGGATGAAAGTTGTGGAGAGTATTAATCTTTAATGTTGGAAGAAGTTGTGATGATTTAAATCAATGAACTTCATTTATTTCTTGATTTGGTCTATCCAGATATTAAAATTTAATGTGAGAACATGTAAGAACCGAGCTGGTATTGTCTCAGTGCACAATTGTAATGAATGACATGAGGTTGTATGAATGAGAATGTAATTGATATGATTTAGTGAAAATAAATAGGAAAAATAATCGTTGAAGAGTTTAGAGTTAGAGGACTCCAGGTTAAAGCCCCCCAACTTGGTTTATTGTTTTAGGTTTTGATACGAGATGTTAGCCCACAGGTGGAGGGAATCGAGGGAACTCTAGAGTGAGAGCTAGTTTATTCCCTGCATAGCCAGTCTTCAGAACTATTTAAACTTTAAATTAGTCAATGCTATTATAGTATCTCTAATAAGGGTAAAGAATAATATTGCTCAAATTTGACACAACACAATTTTGCATACTTTCACAACAGAATTCTTATTCTTGTTACTGATTCATGATAAGAAAAAAAATATTTTATGTTTAGTGCTTCTTATCTTACAAAAACTCAATTTATTTTTAGAAGTTATTATTGTTTTATCAAAATATCAAAAATACAAAAAAGAATTGAATTTTAATTACTGTGATAATATCTTTAGTGATAATATCTTTAGTTTAATATCTTTAGTTTAAGTAATTTTTTTTAAATAGAAGTTTGTTACTTAATAGTGCATATTTTGAACAATCCTTGTGGGTTAGATATTAGGGGCTTAGTCAAAAAATCTTATATTACTTGATAATGATATGTATATTTGCGTAGTATCCCAATATGTATATAAATTAAAAAATAAAATTCTTATTTTCTTTAGGATCAATTTTTTGGTATTGTTGCAAAGTAATAAAGATAAGTGGAGAATATAATTGCATACATTGTTATACTGTTGCATAAGAACAGTCGGGATCACTCGACAGTAAATAACCATAATTCTTCTTCATGCTGTAAATTGATGTAAGTGGTGTACGGATGCACGGTGGATTTGCCAAGCAATTAAATATGGCCTGCATCATGTCTTTCTGTCCTAAAAATTGGTGCTTATTGTTTGCTAGAGCCCGATCCTTGCTTACGCCTGCTCCCGCTCACGCGTGAAGCGACTTCGCGCGTCCCTTCGCCAGTTTCATGAATCGGCGCATTCACGCGAAGAACCCGCTCTCGCCCCTGTTCCTGCTCGTGAAAGGTCGCGATTTTGACCCTGCAGTTTCACGAAATGTTCCCGCCTCCAGGTTTGCGAAACGACGCCGCCCTCCGTTTCCTTTAAGTTGCGAACAGAAGAGGAAGAAAATGTAGAGTCACGATTTTTTGTGTTCTTCTTCGGGCTTCCTCGGGATAGAGGAAGGTTTCCTCGGGATAGAAGAAGAAAAGTGCAACAAGTAGTTCCTTGCGGAAGAAGGAAGAAGAAAAAAAAAGAAGAAGATTGTTCTCCCTTGGCTTCTTCTTAGTGGCTTGTGGCAGAAGACAAATTGAGTTTATTTCTCTTATAAGTTTATCATCTTTGGTGTATCTCGATGTAGAGTTTCTTTGGTGTATCTCAGTATAGAGAGAGAAGAACATAGAGAGAAGAAGAGAGAGCAATGAAGTGAGAGATCCCTCTTGTAAGTCGAGACGATCGACTGATGTAAATTTCTCAAGTAGTAAAATCCTATGCAACTCCGTGGAGGTAGACAATTTGTCGAACCATGTAAATCTGTGTGTTCCGTTGTGTTACTGTTTTCTGCTGTGAATTTTTCTCGTTCTTTTTCGTTTCGTTGATCGTTCTCTTATTTGATTTATGTATATAGCACATCAACCGGTGTATATCTTATCACAACAAATGGTATCAGAGCTTTGTTCGGATTTGCAGAAGAATGATGGTTGCAGATGAAGTGAAGGTTTTAGGGATCAAGAAATTTGATGACACAGATTTTGGTTATTGAAGGATGCAGATAAAAGTTTGGTTATTGAAGGATGCAGATAAAAGACTATCTCTATGTGAAGAAACTCCATCTTTCGTTATTGGGGAAAATGCCTAAAATGATGGATGAGGCTAATGAAATTTGTTGGATCGACAAGTTTTGGGGTTATTCAATTGACCCCATCGATGTCTGTTGCACACAACGTCATTAAGATAAGGACAACTGCATATCTCATGGCAACCTTATCAGGTAGGTGTGAAAAGCTATCAACGAATAACAAGGTGTACTTGATGAATAAGTTATTCAACTTGAAGATGATAGATGGTGTTTCTGTTGCTCAACACATGAATGATTTCAATACTTTTACAAATCAATTGTTGTCTGTTGAAATTGATTTTGATGATAAGATATGTGCGTTGATATTGTTGGCATCGTTGCCAATCGTTGCCAAATAATTGAGAGGTAAAGAGGATGATAGTTAGCAGTTCTGCAGGTAAATCTAAACTGAAATGTGATGATATTCGTGATTTGATTTTGACTGAAGAGGTATGCAGGAAATATTCTGGTCATATCTCAGGTACGAGTTTGACACTGAATGTTGATTTCAGAGGGAGATGACATGACAACAACTCAAATAAAGGAAGATCAAAATCAAAGTCTGGTCAACAAACAACCTGTTGGAATTGTGGCAAGACTGGCCACGTAAAGAGAAGCTACAAGAATCTCAAGAATATGGAGAATGATAGTTCAAATGTGGTATCAAAAGAAATACAGGATGCATTATTGCTGATGGTTCTGTTGATGATGAAAGTGAAGATGAGAGTGGGTCTGGGGCACCCATTCCTATTGTTCCACAGACAGATGGTGGAGAATCACAGAGCTATGAAGAGCTATGAAGAAATCTTGAAGAAATCTTGCAAGATGAAATTTTGAGCAAGTGGGAGCTGACAGAATTTCCAGCAGGGCATAAGACATTACACAAAAAGTGGGTGTACCAGAGTGAATACTGAGCATAATGGCGGTAAGAAGTACAATACTAGACTTGTTGAAAAAGGCTTTCAGCATAAACATAATATTGCCCATGCAGTGGGAGTTGTAAGCAGAGATAAGAGTAATCTAGGAAATAGCTTGGAGGAGCAAGACTATTTGGACCCTGCTGATATGATGATTGAGGGTGTTACTATTAAGAAACTGAAGTTGTGCACAGCTTCAGTTGGTCTTCTGGAGTGAAGACAGATGCTTTGAGTTGCAGAGGTGGATGATTCATATTTAAATAAAAGGGTGACGCCGCCAGTAGAGGATATCAGATCGAGGAAAGATATGTTGTAGCTTGTGTATCAGTCTCCAAGTGAGAGATTTGTTAGCTGGAGTTTGATCATTGCTTCCGCCTGCTCTCGCGCATGCGTGAAGCGACTTCGCTCGTCGCTTCGCCAGGTTCGCGATTCGATGCATTCTCGTGAAGCGCCCGCTTCTGCCCTTTTACCCGATCGTAAAAGGTCGTGACTGCAACCCTGCAGTTTCGCGAACTGCTCCCGCCTCTAGGTTCGCGAAATGACGCCGCCCCCCATCTCCTTTAAGTTGCGAACAGAAGAGGAAGAAAATGTAGAGTCACGATTTTTTATGTTATTCTTAGGGCTTCCTCGGGGGTAGAGGAAGAGAAGTGCAAGAAGTAGTTCCTTGAAGCAGAAGGAAGAAGAAGAAGATTGTTCTCCCTTGGCTTCTTCTTGGTGGCTTGTAGCAGAAGAGAAATTAGATTTATTTCTCTTGTAAGTTTATATTCTTCGGTATATCTCGATATAGTGTTTCTTCAGTGTATCTCGGTGTAGAGAGAGAAAAATAGAGAGAAGAAGAGAGATCAACGAAGTGAGAAATTCCTCTAGTAAGTCAAGACGATCGACTGGTGTAAATTCCTCAAGTAATAAAATCCTCTGCAACTCCGTGGACGTAGACAATTACATGGACGTAGACAATTTGCCGAACCACGTAAATCTGTGTGTTATGCTGTGTTACTATTTTATGATGCGAATTTTTCTCGTTCTATTTTTCGCTTCGTTAATCGTTCTTCTGTTTGATTTATATATATAGCACATCAACTGGTGTATATCTCACAACACTTATGAATACTGCTACGACTATGAAATTAATTATGTAATGAATCTTGTTGAGAAATTAGGGCGAAAGAAAATAAGAATTGACACAAATCTAGAAGAACACACAGAGATTTAACGAGGTTCGGCAAAGTTGCCTACGTCCTCGGGAGCAGAGCGGCGCCTTTCTTTCAACTCTAGAAAAAGGGTTACAAGAATACAGAATACTCCCTAGGGTTACAAAAAAGTATATATATAGCCCTGGAATAAACTTTGAAATATAATGTGTAATTATAAAATTACCCATGTACCGTACCGCGGGGCGTTTCCCCCACATAACGAAACTCCTCAGATTGGACAGATTCTTCTGCTGCTCGCTTCGTTCTGCTCCAGCATCTGACCTTATATGATATATCAGTCATACCTAACAAATGTGGTTGGCGGGGCAGACATTTCTATCTGATGGGTTTTGTGTGTGCTTATAATACTGCCAAAATTATGTTTCTATTTCACACGCATAATCTATTTTTTATTCGAATCGGATATATGAGGTTTCAAGTGATTACTATTCAGTTTCAATATTCTCAATCAATTTTAGAAGATTGTACTTGGAAAGTAAAAAAATGACTTGATCTACCACAAAAATGAGATCAAGTAAAGGCAGAGAGTAGGAGATAAATTCAGGAACATGAGTGCATCAATGCCATTTGTCTCTTTATACATAGTGTGTAAATAAATGTTAGTATTCCCTCCACTTAACGGTGTAGCTCACTATATGTTTATATGTAAGGGTAGTATAGAGAGTTGTTAGAATATAGCTCACATATTAGAGATACATGATTTTCTCAAGGATTTTGAACTATTCAAACGAACTATCTATTCCTCTAAAATTAGTACTAATTCAATAGTCTAACGGTGTATTCAGTCTATTTTGATTTTCAAACCAATTCACTTCAGAAATCCTGATCATTCTGATGAGCAGACAACTTTTTAACCCAGTATTAAGTCAATCTAAACTCAAAACTGGAACCACTTCGTTTCTCTGGCTTTTGTATCTTATTGCACAGATTGCAAAGATGAACCACCCTCATCCCACAAAAGAATAATGTGCAGAAAGAAAAACATAAAAACAGATGACGTTACCTGTTTCTTCAGCTATGAATTCATGAACAATTTACTAGATTCTGACTGCTGTGGAGAAGTGTATGTTGCTGCAGATAAGTCGCAAATTCTGCCTGAACCATAAAGATTCTCCTCTTGCTCAGTCATGAATACCTGTAGTTGTTGTGCGCCATCTGCCGTCAGTATTTGTACCACCTGGCGCATGCTTGGTCTCAAATTATGCAATGGGTGCGAGCAGAGCAACCCTAGCCTCAAAACCAATTCAATCTCCTCGGACTTAAAATCATTACCCAGTTTAACATCCCTGCTCTCCAGAATGATCCCTCTTTTCCAGTTTTTTGATACCCAGTCCACTAAATTCAGAACATCTGATGAAGCTTCCTGCAGAATTGGTCTTCTTCCACACGCGACTTCAAGCAGAAACACCCCGAATGCGTACACATCTGTGGAGGTTGTTATTCTGCCATTTTTGCTTAGCTCCGGAGCAATGTAACCAATGGTTCCGATTACGTTAGTTGTATTCGGATCACTTCCATGGTCGTATAATCTTGAGATGCCAAAGTCCCCAACTTTTGCATTAAAACCATCATCTAGTAAGATGTTGCTGGATTTGATATCTCGGTGAATGACCACCTTTTCCCACTCCTCATGCAAGTAGAAAAGCGCTGAAGCCACGCCTTTTATGATTTGGAACCTGTGCGCCCAGTTAAGTTTCTTCTTGCCGGTGTCATCGAAGATGAACTTGTCCAGGCTTCCATTGGACATGAATTCATATACAAGCAGGAGCTCCCCTTTGCGCCTGCAGTAGCCGAGAAGCTGGACCAAGTTTGGATGACGAAGTTGGCCGATGCTGACAATCTCTGAAACTATTTCTCTCATCTCTTTACTTAAATCACGTGATATTCTTTTGACTGCAATTTCAGTTGTTGTGGACATGGTCAATTTCCCTTTATACACCCGACCAAAGCCTCCAATTCCCAAAAGTTCATCTTTTCCGAAGCCCTTGGTGGCCTTGTAAAGGTCCTTGTAAGAGAGCCTCTGATGCTGGAACTCAACCTCCCATTCTTCCACAACTTCAGCATATATGATCCTCTTTGCTACAACATAAGCGATTCCCATGGCCGTAACCAGCATAAGCACAACAGCTAATATGTATAGCTTATCATGTACAGCTTTGCTTTTTCTTCGTATGGGTGCTGGAAGTGAAGGAAGAGTAATAAGATTGAGCCGTCGGGCTTGCCCGTTGAGCTTAAAGCTCCAGCCCAACACATAATGAGACGTTTTGATGGAGCCGGATGAAGAAGAAAAACCAATGTACATAGTGTCGTAGATAATCAGAGAGAGATTAAGTGACAGAGATATAAGAGGAATACTTGGCTTGGGTACATTGATTGGACAAATTGTTACATTGAGCTTCATATCCTGACCATCATACTCCACCCAAACCATCATAGGCTTCCCACTGAGAAGAGTCAAGTTGTCATACCCTTCATTTTCCCCCAGAAAATATGAAGCCGGAGCAGCAGCCACCGATCTCAAACCATTGATATCGACGCCAACATGATTGTTATTTATATCTTCGAACTCGACGTTGCTCAGGGTGTCCAACTCAACTGCCACCGCATGATTAGAGGAGTTTCCATTGTTGGATGAGTTGAAGAGTCCAAGGAATTGAACAGGGAAGGCTCCAGTGCGGCCTCTTGTTGGGGAGATCACGAGAGCAAGGCCATGGCCGCCAACATCAGAGTACTCCGACACAATCGCAAAAGCGAAACAGGTGGAGAAGGAGTTGAGCCTGCCATCTGATGCGTTCTTGAATCGGATTACCCTCTTGTGGAACGCGTGGCTCTGCATGTACTTGCTTGTGTTGGTCAAGATCAGCAGCCCGTTTGGTGCGATGCCCGCGATGCCATCAAGAAGCAGATCTTCGCTGCTGAATCCATTGTAGAAGAAGAAGTCGTCATTTTCAGCAGCTGAAGTTTTGATGATCAGGAGGAGGAACAGCAGAGAAGCCATGAATGCTGCTGCTAATTCATTTCTCGGAAGCTTTTGTTTCTGACATATTTTATTGTGATCTTCATCAATTTCTTCTCTTGCAGACATAATGTAGCAGGGAGATGTCACCCAACTCATTTTAACGTTACTTGAGAATAATTTTAGGAATCATGTCGATGGAATATGTGACTTGGTCAGCACACTTTACAAGATTAGTTTTTACCATTGTTTGCAGTACATTCCATTATTATTTATTTATTTATTTATTTATTATTATTATTATTATTTATTTATTTATTTTTAAATCTATAGCTTGTGTGGCCTACTTTTTAAATCTTGAATTCACCATTTTTCATTTTCTTTATTTTGTTTTATGTTCGACGACGAGAAAACCAAGATAAATGCAAGATGTCAATTAGCTGTTCTCCGGTTCTTCCGGATTCAAATCACCTGCAATCAAAAAATTTAAAAATAAAAATAGAAAGAAAATAATAATAAAAAAAATGTCTCCCTCCCAAGCTATAGACCAATCGTACTTCTCCTGCATGATAAATGGCGATCAAAGACCGCTGAATTAGGCAGTAAGCTAGGCAATAATTATCAATCAATAGTGGATTTTCGTAATTGTGTCAGGCCTCTTGATTTTTTCTTTTCTGGGTTTTCCACATAAAAGTTTATAGTCATCACTACTTGTTTTCTCTTTCATCTTTGTGTGTGCTGAATTCTCGTACAACGTTAAAACGAAAATCCGTTACTCTACCGCCTCGGATTTTCCAGCACACATCACTAGTATATTGTTCTAATGGCCTAAATTAATCCACACTTAAGATTATTTCAGCCACAATTTAAACAAAATGAGACTAATTTGACACTTCTATAAAGTATGAGACTAAAATTTAACACATAAAAACTTACAAGGCTATTGTAACATTACTAAAATTTTAATTTTAGCTAAGACATCATAAGATAATTTTAAAAAAGAGGAGCACACTTATTAGACTGCACATATGTAACCATGAGTGAATTTCATTCATAAAAGTTTCCTTAAAAATAACCTTAGAAAAAATAGTGGTATAAAGTCGAGGTTGTTATACTCTATCCATCGTTCAAATAGAAAATCTTTTATGTGCTTGGTGATGGTACTAGTTATAACTTTTTAATATAAAAGACTGCAATAAACTCATCTGGAAGGGAGGCCATTTTCACAAGGAAGCAGAGGGTCTCCTCTGCAGTGAAAGAGGGCGGCCATCAACATTACCTGTGAAGAGAATAGCAAAAATGATGTTTCTAACTCCTTACCGGCGACAATGTCGAAGTAATCGACTATCCGAGTGGTGGGATCATCAAATTGGATGCCGAGAAAAGTTTAATTGTTAACTGCATCTATCGATAGAATTCATGCCTTGTTGGATGGCATTACTTGAGAGAGGAGTCTTTGATGGTTTTTCAAAATAGGATTCATTACTGAAGAGTTTGGGATTATTGTACGCAAATAGAAACTTCGACTACATTATTGTGAAGATCTCATTGCTTCCTTTCATTACCCCTAATTCCAGCGACATGAGCTAAATTGACCAAGATCATTAGGACACTGAAAGCTATTTTGGACATTTCCACTTTTGAAGCAGTAAAATGCAGGGACGGTACGGTCAACCTAACTATCAAACATAGGGTCCCTTTGGCGCCGCTTTTTTCGTGCGGCACAGCCCAATACCGCAAATATTTACTGTGTTATTTTAACCCCCAATTAATGAATAAGGTAAAAGGACACTTTTGTAATGTGGTAC